GGGACTGATATACAAGCGATATAGAATTCTAAGTAGTTAATTGATAGCTAGACTGGACCAGAATGGCTAGTCTTATACAGGAAATATGTGAACTATACATTTTTCATAACAGTGATCACTTATGGGTACGTATAATCAGTCACGCACTCACTTCTATTGAATAGTTAGCACCTTTTTCAGCCGTGAATTTCTTTGCACAATGCTCTGCCACCCACAATAGCTCATTGTTTGTAATTTAGCGATTAAAACATATGAAGTCGACCATTTAACTTGGCGTCATTGTCACAGTCCGACTTACGTTCTTAATTTACTCACGCAATTCATCATGCAAACACATTCGAACAAACTACAAAAATGCAGACCCTGAGCGGAAATGTGTCGCCATGCAATCAGAAACACAGCGTCCAAAATGTATTAGATGTCTATTTCATGCCAGTGGGCCGTACACGTCCACGTACACAGGTGTTAATCACCAAAGGAGGCACGGTGTTTATAACAAAGGCGGCGGTGAGTGAATGGACTTAAACATATGTCGCATTGTGTCAAACAAATGAATTGATAAAACTACCAATGATCACGATACATATTGTAATATCGAAATGATGTAATATATTGCTGATTAGATTCACACAGGTTTACAACACGGCATAATCTGGCCTTGTCAACCAAGCTGTTTGCCAATCAATGAGGTAACCATACCACAGAAGCTAAAAGAATCTGGTTACGCCACTCATATAGTAGGCAAATGGCATTTGGGAATGTATAAAAAAGAATGTCTTCCAACTGAAAGAGGATTTGATACTTTCTTCGGTAAGTCAAAGTAACAAACACCACAGTCGAAGCGTTTGAATATAACGGTAATATTAAAAGTGTTTTTAATTTACATATTAACCATGTTTTATGAGATATATGTTGAACTCGGGATGATTATTTCACTTTAACCTCTTGAATGCCAAAGTCTACTTTTGACACCATTCACAAAATAAACCTTCAGAAAAAAAAGTAATCATGATCTGTAATTTGGTCTGATATTAACAAAGAAATCATAAAAAAATGCAGAAAAATTTGCAAATTTATACTACGAATGAGAGTTTGAACTTAAAGAGACAATGCAAAAACGATTTGATTAGCATTTGAATGAGAATGCGTTGCAATACAGTACATTTCAGATGTAGTATATGTGTTTTATAATGAATAAACCAACAGTATGTGGAAGAAGCCTGTACCTTTGATAATTACTTTTGTGTATTTAATTAAAACATTTGTTTAGATGATTAATATTAATTTATTCTCACTATGTTGTTACAACCTACATTGACGGGGTAGTCTTTTTGAGTTTTAAAAGCCACTTTGAATACATATCTTTAGTTGCAATAATTTTTTTTCCATTATTTTTTAGGTTATTTAACAGGAAGTGAAGACTATTACACGCACAACAGAAGTTACGATAAGTTCCACGGAATGGATTTTAGAGAGAACATGCAAATAGTACAACCACAATATAATGGACAGTATTCAACACATGTGTTTGCTGAGAAAGCAAAAAACATCATTAAAAGCCATGACCCTCAAATAGTGAGATTTGTCCATTGATTCTGAGATGTATTTTAAGCAGTGATGTAACTTTTTAGACGCTGAAGTAGACATTTGCGAACTTTCACAGAATAAAGATCTGTAGTTCATGGAAAATTAAGTCCATCTGATTCAAAATGAATGATGAAATTACTTAAAAAAATGCAAAATGTATATTTTGATGGCGGGTGGTGGAGATGGGTCGCTTGAACCAGGAAATCAAAATCTGGTCAGGATTCGCACGCCACCACTTAATTGCTAGATAAAAACAATTATATGTCTGAAAACTCTATTCTATCACAGCAGACTTAATGGTCTCATAATAGTGTTTCTAAGATTTTCTTTTTGCATTGCAGCCTTTATTTTTATACTTACCGTTACATGCAGTCCATGGCCCGCTACAAGTGCCTGACCAGTACGAGAAGCCGTATACTAACATAACAAATAAACAGAGACGTACATATGCAGGCATGGTGTCTTGTATGGATGAAGCTGTTGGTAATATTACACAAACACTGGAAGATGCAGGACTTTATGATAACTCAGTGATTATATTTTCAACAGGTGAGATGAATCAAATATCAACAAAGTTTACTCTAAACGTTGAGCAGTTATTATTCTTTCACTTTTGAGTTGATGCTGAGAATATTAACATGGTTTGTCAATTGTACACCGCATGCAATGCACAGTACAAGAATTGTTAAATTAAAAATTCAGGATATCATGTTTGAAGGCAGTTCTGAAAAAACGGTATGAAACGATGTTGTGAATATCTGATGTATATGGGTTAATAAATTATTTCTTGAGAGAATTGATATATTATGAATAGTGTATATCGACACAGTCAAACAGAGTTGATTTTGTTGTCACCAATGTAAGTCATTTCTACATCATAGAAGTGTTTTGTCAGAACGATCGAATGGGTAGTATTTTAAAGCATATCATAAGATTAGGACATTTGGAAAACTTTGAACTAACTACTGAAAAAGCATTGCTTTCTACATATTTTAGGTGTTCATAATTTAATATAGAATATTGATTTCTGTTATTCTAATGACTAATTGAAATTAAAAATATTATCATATGCATTGTTCAATATGATCACCATCTAGGAATGATTATATCTCTTTTCCTGTTTGTTGTAATAATTAGGTGTCAGATAACAAAAAAGCATTTTTTCAAACTTCATGCTTGCATTGTCTGTTTGAAATGATTGTATCGTTGTCACATGCTGTATTGTTGCTGGTGTAAAGACGAGGAAATGTTCAACAATAACAGAAATAAAATGATTAACATTTTCAACATTAGAAACACTTTCAAAAACATTTGTAACGCTAGTTCCAGCTAAATTATTTTGTTTATTCCTGCAATTTGTATTCATATTATTCTTTGTGCTTCTTTGTTCTCAGTATGTTGCAGTACATATTACTAATGATATTGCTATGTACGTATTACAGACAACGGTGGTCAGGTGACAGCAGGTGGAAATAATTGGCCGTTACGCGGCTGGAAAGGGTCATTGTGGGAAGGAGGAATGCATGGAGTGGGATTCGTCAATAGTCCATTAATTAATCATCAAGCTAGGGGAACCACATCTAAAGAGCTAATTCATGTCACTGATTGGTTTCCCACTATCGTGCACCTGGCTGGTGGGAGTGTCAGTGGTACACAGCCATTGGATGGTTATAACCAATGGGAAACTATCAGGTACCATCTTTATTTTGCTGCTCTGAGATAAAATGTCAAATGCTGAGTCCATAGACTAAGCTTCCTGGAAATATCTGGTATATGTGTTAATGCAGAACATATTTATACTTGCAATAGAATGTTTCTGACAAATACACTATTGTGATGCAAATGAAATAATATATATCAACTGCAAACTAAGAAGCAGTTATGATGACACATACAAGCATACAATAAAGAGAAGATTTAAAATTACAAACAAAGGCCCATTTTCTCTCTCCGTATTTGATGTTGTATTGATGCATAATTTCATTGGAAATATGAAGAAAAAATAATCTACAAATGCCACTACTGTTCCACTCACTCGCAAAGAATAAAATAAAAGCATCATAGACACTAACATAAATGGCAGTATAACACCAAACAACATTGTTCATATTCTGTTTCAAAGCAATGGTAAGAAATCACCCAGAAAAGAATTGTTGCACAATATAGATCCCAAACGTACAACATTGCAGACATCCAACAACAATATGATATACAGAAAAGACATGTTCGATGCTTCCATCCAAGCTGCCATGAGAGTTGGTGATTGGAAAATACTGACAGGTAATCCAGGTGAGTGCTATATGACCTTTTATTGGTTATCATTTGGTGAGTTAGTGACCAATCACAGATGAGCCCGAACATCCCTGTCTGGCTGCAAAGCCAACCATGCCAACTTAGATACTAATCTGTTCACCGTTCAAATAGTTTGCATAAAATATTCTCACTCACCAAATTTACTTGGAATAAAGATGGTGTAATCTGCTCATGTACATTACTTTTTTCCATGGCTTTGTCATGGTAACCACCAGTAAATATTATACAATTTTATATCCTAGGTAACAGCAGTTGGATTCCTCCGCCTGAGTCAAGTATTACTCCTCCGCATCCGACAGATATTCCTGGAAAAAATATCTGGTTGTTCAATATTGCCGAAGACCCAAACGAATATAACGATCTCTCTCTATCCCGACCAGATAAGGTCAATGAACTTTTAGAAATATTGCAGCAGTATTACAAAACATCTGTGCCTGTGCATTACCCTGACGATGAACCTGCCTGTGATCCTGACAAGAATGATGGTGCATGGGGGCCATGGCAATGAACTTCGTAAAGTTCAAGAGTTCTTAAACTAGAATACATGTGATGGTAAACTTATTTTGTCTAAACTGAACTCCTAGTAGAAAATTGTATTATATGAATTATTAAAGGACATTATTTGGGACATATTAGTTTTTCAGCAAATTTTGCAATTCCAGAATACATGTTTCTTCAGCTCCGCTGTTAGCAATGCACATTTCAATTAGAGAACTGAAGATATCGTCACAAAATAAATATGAGAGGTCCACCTTTAGTTCCTACATATATAATATCAAAGTAATTAAACTTGTGATTTTTAAGAAGCAGTCAAAAATATCACTTTTTACCAAAAATATTCATCACAATTCGAAAATTGAATATATCATCATGATATAAGCAAATCTGAGAGAAGCCCACTTTACGGTTTTCAACAAGAAGTCGAAAATATCAGTTTTGAAAGATGCTGGAAGATTGCAAGCTGGACACTAAAGGAAACAAATTACATGCAAGGTGTTGCAGGAACATTTGTTGGCAAAAAGGACTGGTCACTCGGTTCAAGCCCCCTTCTATGATTGCAAATGTTCAACCCCTTATAGTTGAGATTTCACTGTGCTGGGTTGTTTTTGTTTCAAATCTGTTCAATCCAAACGTTTGTTTCCCTGAAGGACGATACATGATGCACATGTCAGTTGCAAATAATGGAATCGATTCTATCAACATCAGCAATATACTACACATGTTACTCTCATCATACATCTTTTTTTCCAAAATAAGTCTTTTCCCATTCTGTCTTACACATTTACTATGCCCCCATTGGCCATATTGGTTCAGGTGATCTGTATATTGTGCAACATGCTATTTTAAGAGAGCCTCAAAAAAATATATTATATTTCTAGACTCATAATACTATATGCATTATTGTTTGACATATTTACATCAAGCAAAATAAAATTGTCGAAAACGTTAGCATATACAAAGCAACGTGCGCTAACGCTTAGTACGGGTTAAAAAACAGTAAGTACGTGCTAAATCTGACCCGTTTTAAAGACCCGGTCTACGCCCTTAGCACGGGTTAACAAAGTGTGCGCGAACGGTCACCTCAGGCGAAGAGCCCAACAAACCACTGTATTCAATGCTTATTTGTAAGATTTCTACTATATCCATATTAAACTATTCATTTCGGTATGCCATTTCCAACATGAAAAAGAAAAACTATTACCATTTTCTGTATAAATTCTTGGTTACTGTACCAAGTAGTCATAGTAAAAAGAACTGATAATTGGTATAACCTTAACAAGCTTTGGTGTTCCTCGGCGCCTGCTAATGGTTGTTTTCTCCCGTGCGTGAACATATGAGATTAGCTTAAATCTTAGCCCGTACCTAGCCCCTCACGAATATGGCTCCTATCACACAAGACTTTAAACAAAAACAGATCCTAACTGATCAATATATAAACAACTGTGTAGACATTTTCCTGAGTGAAAGAACTCCAGAGAACTTGACAGATATGCTAAAGCTCTCTAAACAGTTTGTTGTTGTCCGGAATACAAGAGAAAGTAAAACTCCAATGTTTCATAACAAGGTAAACCTCAATTGCAGCCAGGCCCAAACAATTGCTATGTCTGTAACAAGGCTGGGCCTGTCGCCAAAAATTTCAGATTTAGTTTGCGCTCCTCTACCAACATAATATAGTAATATCTTGATTAATTCGCGCACCCATTTTATTTTCCAATGCTAATTTTTAAATGTATTCTTTTAATTCGCGGCGTTCAAAAACATGTTTAAAATTGTACCCTATTAATTCGCCAGAATAAAGTGAATAACTCGGAATATATTGCATGAAGACATTAAAAATATACATTTTGTTTGAGTTTTTATGTTATCAGTACTTGGAGTAGCCACAATCGCAGACGATCTCCGATCTCCGTCATCACAGCCTTTCAGTTAGCAAGCAGTTTAGGTTCGGTCAAGATTTGACCTGAAAAATATCATTCCCCCACGACAGATGTTGGGCAAGATTATTACTTAGTCGATAATATCCATCGGTCGGCACATCGATTACGAATTTCCGTGATGGAAAGCTTAGTACAGGGCTTTTCGTCGCAGGTCCACAGGGTTGCACCGCCATTTTGAAAAGTAATTTTATTCTATGACGTCATTTAAGTGAACCGCCCTATGGTGCGTAAATTAACGTTTTTGATTGGTCGGGCGATTGACCTTGTGTCACATTTTCATTATGGATGAAAGTGTTTGACAAAAAAAGCAATCATGTAAACAATGAACACATGGCTACAAAAATGCAATCAACGGGTCAGAATTAAGACCACCTTATCCGAATTAACACTGAAATAGCATAAATAGCTCTTTGGACATCACATTGAATATATACACATTTATTTTATGTACTCTTTAACATAGGTGGAGCACAATTAATATGTGGTAGGTTTGGGAATATCCAGGACTGCTTTTAGATTTTGCATGAAAGAGACCCCGTAATTCTGTACCTTACCTACTTCCTCGATGACCAAGACGAACACTTCCCCTTGCTAATCAGGGTTACCTGGCATCGTTCATCATGTTTTGTGCATCAGCCGTTGGGTTCGGAAAGCCAAATCCCTTGACATCATGAGATAATCTCACATATATCGCATTAGTACTGAAAAAGTTGAAAGTCGGTGACACGGTGAGTATAATGATTAGTTCAATGTTCAGGGTAGTGTGAGAGTTATACCAGTTACATGGCAATTGCAACTAGTGCAGTTCGGATGTCAAGCTATGAATACATCTAGAAAGTAACTACTAACTTGTCTAATCTAGAGATAATTAATATAAATACATTAAACAACGCTCTACCCTAGTCTAGTCTAGTCCAGTCTTTCTACGGTCCGCACAGCAGATTTGAAACAAATGGCAACTACTTGACCCTTAGTTTTCACATCGCATTTTATGTGAAATTGGCCCTGCGTACGGTTCATTTGCCATTCATGACTAAAACAACAATTCTGTAAGATTTGGTGATCATTATGTGGTTATATTTAAACAAAAAAATCACAGCTATTGTAGCTTTATTAATGCGATATTTCTTTCAAGAAGATGATAATTTTTTAGTTGCACTATGGTTTAGCCGACTATCGTCGTACACATGCTTGTCAGAAACCATTTGTTGAGAAACAACAGTGTGATGTATCTGAGATTTTATTGAGAAATGGTGACGTAGCAAATTGCAGATCAAGGTTTTGATCACATTTAATAAATAAACTTTGATTCATTTATTTCATATACTTTAAATAGATCGGAACTTGCACCAGATTTGAAACTAGTAAACAAACAACATACAAACATATTTCATTGGCTAAAATAGGAATGGCAGACAAAACCATCCTCGTATTATGGCCAACCATTAGCTTCCCAGCACTTTCCCAGTATAAGAGATACTGATTATCAACAGTACGACGTTGGCACTGGAGTTTTCCCGACGACACGAACTTGCCACAGTTAGAAAATAAATAATAAAAACACAGACGCTCTCACAGAAAAGACACCAGCACTTGCATCATCATTATAGAATCCGTATGTAAACAATCAAAGACTCAACCTGGAATATTATAGAAAACATCTATAGTTGTTCCATAACCATCCGCTAGGGGCGTACAGGCATCACCTGAATCTCAGAAAGAGACATTGACATAGGCAAAATGAAATGAATGAAAACTCGAACAATAACGATGAAGACTTTATCCGGATCTTAACGTCGTTATACAATGAATGAATTCAAAACATTATGGCATTATAAATTACTTTAAATACTTGAATCACCATGAAAGTAACGAAAATAAGTATTTTACAGTACAAAATCGATTGAAAAATAACTCGTCCGGACTATAACATGTTTGTAATTGTGGAGTCGTGCCCATATACACACAAGTGTATGCAAAGAGGGTTCATAAAATAATGTTCCTTTATCTTACGTCATCGCATTCACGTTCCGCTGATTTATGTGTCCAAGTTATTTGAAACAGTGAGCGTGGTGACGGGGAGAATGGAACGTTCTGTATTTGATGTGCGAAAACAAATCTCGTGGATTTCTCGCTATTAACGAGATATCAACGGTCAAGTGATTTAGGGGTTTCTGGCTCGATGTAAGTATGAGGGGTTATTTATCGCGTTCTTAAACCTGCTTACGCCAGGTACCAGAGATCGTTGCATTCGCCACCTGTTCGACCAAGCAAAGACACACACAGATCTAGAATTCGTGTCAACTTCTCTAGTCTTAGTCGCCTGTCGAGAACTCTCCAAGACAGAATGCATCGAGGAAAAGTGCTTCGTGCTGCACTTGCAAGAGTCGCCTCGTCTCGTCGAGATCTCTCTCAGACTGACCAAGACTCTCTTTATTTACTTCTTAAAACTTTAGCCAATTACATAGAAGTTTAAGAGCTTGAGGCGTGGCTCCACACATTTCACTCGCATGTAGCCAATCACACGAAGTACTTAACACGTTATATATACTTGATTAAGTGTCCGCTATATTAAGAATATAAGCTACACATACCAAACTGTCAAATTTAGTTCCAATCACTGATTTTAGTTCCGACCAGGACGCCGCATGAGTCTAAATGATGACATGTTATGGAAAAGTGTTGAATGATATCAACCAGCAATTCACATGAAACCAGTTATCAAGTCGATATCTAGACATATTGAAACAAATCCATGACATAAGTATAAGTTCGGTGAATAGTTTCATTCAGTTTGTCAAAATAATGTATAAGCAGCTGCACTTCTTATAGGAAATGGAGTGTTTCCATTGAATATAATTAAAAAGTGTACTTACATTTATTATTTGATTTCCAGCACAAATTTGCCGGATGCTGCAAACCAGTTAAAATTCTTGACATTTATTTCAAACATGGAAGCGTGTATGATGGAAGGAACTAACGTTAGTACCTTCCATGTTTCAAATGACCTCGGCAGTAGTAGCGATGCAATGCAAACAAACCAAGATTTTAATAATCATCTTATAATAAAAGAACCCTTCCACCAACACACAGAGTGTCTTTAATATTTATCTTTATGTAGAGTACGTTCATTGTATGAAGCGACCTGTAGCGGCGGCAGCGGATTGCCTCCCAAGTGCGTAAAGACAACGACGTTCTATTTTGGTAATCGTTCGCCATTTACAATGTATTAACTTTCTCAAATTATCTTTTATTGAGTGGTGACTGAAGAGCGTGAATCATAGAACACGTTTCACAAGCGTTAAACTGCATATACTCCACTGCTATCACGAGTATTTACTTGTATTAACTTGTGATATGTACCAGTATTAAAGAGATACTAGCCAGTCATGGTGGTAACAATGTGACATGTGACGTCGTTATAGGGATTGGCACGAAACAGCACGACCTTTGCACTCCATGCCCTTTATCTACCTGTTTGTGATTCCTACTAGTCAATCTCGCAGTCCTATATTGTTGATATGTCATTTTCATAGATTGTCCGCCAAATATGTTCAAACTAAAACAACTGTACTGAAGGTATGTATTATTGTGTCGTATGTGTCCACGGGTATGAATACCATGATTGTTGTCAATTTCACAGCATACGCCACAAACTGAAAACACCGATGAAAAAGCCACACGTGCGTTCCGTGTTCAATCAAATCAACCGAGATTTCACGCTTACGTCAAGAGTAGTAGGTACCAATCCGTCCCGACACAGACGTTGCGTTCAATTGCTAATGTCACTCCTCTCAAAGTTTATTCGTTAAATTACCTTGCGTGGACGTCTGCAAATAATGTAATTGTCAATGATTTACTAAAAGTATATATTCAACAGGTCAACTCATTGATAACTCGACATGATATTTTTTTATGCTGTGAATTTGTCGTCCAATTTCGCAGCATTATTTTTGCTGAATCTACAGTAATGAATGTATGTAATTTATTTCCGGGCTATTATAACTAAAATAACATATGTGAAGTCCGGTCAAACCCTGATGGCAGCCATGTTTGTTTTTATAATTAGAGGACGCTTACGCGCGTAATCATTCCATATTTGGAATTTGCATTTCCTAATATGGTAGGATGAAAATACCCACTAAAATACGGCAAAATTACGGCACGCTGTAATGTATGGCGCGGCGTTACGATGACAGATGTATAATAATTATTTATACTCCCAGGTGTGTTGTAACAACCTTTATCGATCACCTTGGTAGTGGCCGCGTGACTCATCTATGAACAGGTTATCGGCACTATGTCGTACTGTGAGCGGGAATACTGTGTGAACGTTACAGACATATTACTGAGTCGTCTGCCAGAAGACCATAGCTCGTGGCCGGGGGACGAACTACTACAGTATATGCATGATACATACAATGTCACTGACGAGTTTGTGGAATACCTGAAAGTGTGCTACGATTATATCGACAGAGAAGAATTCAGTGAAGAGTTTCTTGACTGGTTAAACCAATGGCTGTTTGGGTAGGTTTAAAGCACGGTGGTCGTCGCGCAGCGCGTGTTCGAATTTCATGTAAATATACAATGTATTTTACACGCGTTGTATACGTCGCTATGAGTCCCATATCGAACAGGACGGGCACGACGACTACCGCCCTTTAATATTGGTTACTGTGGTTGCTTGGTTACCATAAGCGCGACGCATACACTTCGGGTAACCAGGAATACGCAGATGTAGACTGATTCCTCAGCTCCTGAGAGCGAGGTTATTTGTAGGTATGTTGGCGATCGCCGCTGTGTCTGCGGAAGTACTATGGGAAATTGCATGATGGGAGTGAAAAGTCTTTTGATCATTAAGATAATTTTAGAAAAGTGAAAACTAGATTGACTGTGAACTAAAGGTTGGTTTTAAATATAAAATATCATGGAATCTGGATGAAATAATGAAAGGAAATTGAACGGGTATGAAAGGGCAGTAAATGTGGCAAGAATGCAAGGTCAAAATCCGGGGGGTCAAAATACGTCACAATACATCCATCATCATCCATCGGCTGTCGACAAGTCTTGATTTGCAGTTTGCGTGAATGGCCGGGGGAAAAATCATGCTAATTCTGTGCTTCAGTAACAGTATTTGCTGCTTTTTTGTGCAATGGAAATAAATTCAAGAAATGCTGTCAAAGGACATTTCCTTCTAGTAAACAAAACAACCCTGGGACGTTTATCTTGAGAAACTGAGAAGACGAAAATCTCTTGGGACAGTCGTTGTTGTGAAACAATGGACATACTTCTTCAGGGTATCAAGGGTAGTTATTAGAAGATTATTAAAAGAGGGGAAACTGCTGCTTTATGGAATAGCAAATTTCAATGTAATTCTAAATCGGTGTTGGTTTTAATTGGCGTTACCTGGTGTAGAAGTAATAATATTACGATGTTTTCGAGTTTAATAGTAATTATTAATATTAATAAATTAATAGTAAATGGTAGACTCCCTTTGGAATAACATCAACCAGTCTAAACTGGTTGACAACAATGAAATTCTAACAGCAAGGCAATTAGGACAAATTAATAAAAATATACAAACATCATTTATATCAACTGGGAAATGTGAATTACAAAACGACAATCAATCAAACCAAAATGAGATATAAATGCATTAAGAACATACAGATAATTAAAAAACAATTTTGCTTTTGCAACCTACCTTTTTACCCTGCAAAATATTGAGATGCGCGAAAATTTAAATAATTCCGCCTCAGTGACCATAACTTGAAAACTGAGACTGACAGACACTACGGAATACCCCTTGTTAATAGATTATGTATCCTTTGTGATCAGAATCAAGTAGATGAATATCACATAATGATATCATGAAAAAGTTTTACCCCCGATAGAAATGTCTTATTTGAAATGACAAAAACCAAAATGTGTCACCAAAGACAGAATTCATAGTCTTGCTAAATAACAGTGGTCTAATACTCCCTGTAACAAGGTACCTAAAAAAGTGTTTTGAAATAAGACAGCAACCTCAGTGACAATTTTCTTTCCCAGTTAAGTTTTGCATTTTTCTATCTTTTTATTGTATAATTGAACTATACAAAATTTGACTTATGTCACCAAACTGCACGTTTTGACGACTCGTATACAATTGTAAGATTATATTTCTGATATACTCGAAGTGAATCTCAGCACTGTACTTTTTATAAATGTTATGGTTAGGTTAATAATTCCTGGAAACTGTACAGAAAATCACATTTTTTTGTTCATAGTTTTTTCTAAATTTCAGTTTTTATTGTTCATAATTATTTACAGCAATAACACTTTTTT